CTAAGAGCTCGGCTTTCAGCTGCTTGTCTTGGCCTAATCTGAGGCCACAATTAAAGCTAATGATCATGATGCTATCAAACGTCATTTCTCTAATAAAGCTCTCATCCAAACTAATTTCTTAATAACTGAATTTACTGCTGTTGCGGAAATTAAAATGGAAATATTTATATATGGAAAATGTTTGCTTTAAGAGCTGTTGCTGTCAATCCAATATGGGTGTTGGGAGCCTTTGCTGATTCACTTAAAATTTTTAATAATATATAAAACAAATAATGTAATTAGAAACACAAAATATCTACATATATCATATATTTTGCTCGACAGAACTTTTCGAATGTAAGCTTTCCTGTTGATATTAATCCCATGATAATAATCGGAAATACTAAGAAAAATCAAAGAAACTTTTGCTTCGCCACGCAGAGTATAATGATAATTGCAATAATGCTATTCATAATGATGCTTAATAATGACATGAATATTCTCTGAAATAGAATTATTTTCTATATAATCTAGCATATTACTAATGAGTCGATGCTGTAATTTTCATAGGTAAGATTATTGGACTAACCCAATGATTTCAGAGTAAACCTTTCTTCCGCCCTTTCCTCACGCTTGATCTATGTACACTTTCGCTCTTCTCTCTGTCAGCTTGATCATTGTAAAATACATATTCCAAACACATCTCGTGTCCATTTGCTCAGCTCTTTCAAAATACCCATAGAGCACAGGTCTCACAGCTTTGAGCTGAGCTGAGCTGAGCTTCGCTGCGCAGCTGCCTTCGATGTAGCGCCGCAAGTAAACAAATGCCCAGGCATTACTCCCATTACTCATAATGGCAGGCAGGCAGCATGCTCATGTCCAGACATATCCTACTTCTCCTACTCTTCCTCCTCCTCCTCCTCCACGTTCCGTTGCGTTCTTAAGGGCCGTCTCCAGCTTCAGCTCCAGACTCATGCTCACCCACAGTATCAACCCTTGTCTCGTCCTCTTGCTTCTCGAGTGCCTGTACCTTCCCCTCAGTCTGTATCAGTCCCTACCCAAAACTCCTCCTCAGTTTCACTCTTAGCCTGAACCTTTGCTCCTACAGCTCCTCTCCCGCATTTTCATATTTAGCGTCCTCCACACACTGCTCTTCATCTTCAGCCTCTCCTCCTGCTCGTCTCCTCCTCTCATCCGTGTCGTCGCACCCGCCCATGCTCGCCTCCTCCATCTGCTTAAGAACTGAACGATTCATAACACAAAAATGGCAAAAGGCAGGGTCAACCAGGTAGGGCAGGGTTGGGGGAGCAGGTTAGAGGCAACGCCTTGAGCTGACCAACTGGCTGTGGTCCTGCCCCTCCTCTGTGTCTGCCTCCGCCTTGCCCCTGCGACCGATCAGCATCGTCGCTTGGTCTGCGCTTCACGATTGTCGATCGCACCGCAGATTTTGTCTGGCATGCGCTGCTGCTGCTGCTGCCTGTTGGCTTTGTCTGGCGACGCTTGAAGAAGCTTCATCCAGGCAAAGTGGGCGTGGCTCTGCGGGCGCTGCTCGTGCGATCTGCCAAAATATATGGAATGAAATATTTATCGCCATTAGAGCCTGATTAGCTGCGGGGCGTTTGATTGTCGCTATTGTTGTTGTTGTTGTGGTTATTGCTATTGCTATTCTTCATTTTCGCTATTTTTTTTTATTTTTATTTTGCTTTGCTCTTAATAAGATTTAGCTCTGATTGAAATTTGATATGTTCATTCAATTATGTTTCAGCTCGGGTTCCCAGCGAGTCAATAAACTCGTCTCAGTCCGTCTCATGTCCCTCGTTTTGGCCAATTAGCTTTTGTTTTTTGAGCAACAAATGTAGAAACACCAAAGGGCAGCGTTTCAAACTTGTCATCTAGCGTTGGGCTCTCGAAAGTAAATGCTACCTAGGGAATGAAATGAATTGGCATGAAGAGACACGAAGGTAAGAGGTAAGGGATAACGAGTGAGATGGATGTGTATATATAGAGGGTGTAGGTACTAGAGAGAGAGAGAGAGCCACTACTATATAGAATAACGCATAATTGTAAAGTGTCTTTGGATTTTGCTCATAGCTTCTCACATAATTGACTTATATTATATGGCTTAGCTAAGCTTCGAACCTCATACCTAGAGGAAAAACACGCTGTGAATGGAGATTAATTGGTCTATGTAGAGACTAATCAGCAAAATAAACAGTGATCTTTATAAAGATATGGAAATCATTAATCAATATTATTGTTGCAGTATAACAACATATATATTTCACTGTTACATTATTTAATACTATTAACAAATATTGGGCTAGCTAAGTTTCTAACCGTATACTGGTCACGGCACAGCCTTCAAAGTCTCCAACCTTATACTGACACAGCCTAGCACTGCTTTTCGTAGCAAGCAGTTCACCTAGCCAAGTTTCTCTCGGTTGCACTGCTTACTTTGTCAAATTTTCGGTTACAATTTGAAATTTCGTCAGCTTATGCAAATGTTGAGCAACTCATTTAATATGCAAATGACACGTTAATTGCCGCAAATGGAAAAACTTTGCGCGTCAACAAAATGTCAGAGCTTAAATTACAACGTTCGCAGTGTGTTTACTCACTTAGCTGGACGCATTTACATAAACATTCTTGGCTATTTACATAAATGCGCTTCTTTTAACTGGGCTAAGTGAGCGCAAAAAAAAAAAAAGAAAAATTCAAAATAAATTAAAAAAAGGGAGAGAGAAAAACTTTTGTTGCAACTTTTTGACAATAAACATTTTGGCAAGCGCAGTCGACGCCGACTTGTAAAATTTCTTCTAGATTTCTCTTGTTTTTATCTCAAACTTTGCATTTTCTCATTTTTCGGCGCAAATTTTTCAATTCGCCAAACGCGAAACGCAACTTCTGCAATTGTTGTCGCCTGTTTTTCTTTTCCTCCTTTTTATTTATTTCCATGTTTAAGCAAGTAAAGAAATGTAAAAAATATAAGATGTTGCCACTTAGAGGCAACCAGTTCGCTGCTGCAGCAAAAACTTTGACATTGCCGCATGAGAAATACGTTTTCCGCATTTTTTGTTTGCCTTTTGCTCTCTGCCTTTTGCCTTTTGCCACTTGTCCGCCAAATTGGCAATGTGCAGTAAAGGATTAAGTTTCATATTTACTTATATCTAAATGGTGGCTGACATCACCATATGGGGGCGTGGCACAAGGGCCTTTCATCGAGAGACAGGCTACTAATTTTCATTTTTGGTTCATATTTCATTTTGTTAAGATTTATAGAGAATGTATTTATTTATATTTCTTTATTCCTTTTGTGTATACTTAATATATTTATTTTGTGATTTAATTTTTTCGATTTTTTTATAAATTGAATGTTAATTTTTTACTCATTAAATATTTTTTACTCATTTTTGTGGTTTGCATTTATTTATTTACTTCTTTTTCGTTCCGTTTTTATTATTTTGTTTCAAATGCATTCAACCTTATCGTCTGCAGCCTCTCATATCCTAACTCTCATTTAAATCGTCTTAGTCAGCCCCATCCTCATCCTCATCTGCATTATTCAGTTTCCACATGAAAAATTTGTCATTAATGAATATTCCGTTGCTTCGGTGCCTGCGGTTCAGCTTTGCCAATAAGCTCTCTCTTTCACTCTCGGAGTATCCCTCAAAGTTTCCCTCTCCCTCTGAATTACGCAGTATCTCTCAGAAGTAAACTTGAAATTGTTTGTTGCTTATACAACATTAAATTTCTAAATACTACCCACAAAGGGTGTGAGTAAAAGAAAGAGGGAAAGAGGGAAAGAGAGGCTCACAGAGTAGGGATTATAAAGGGAAGAGAAAGGCGACAGAGTTAGAGTTAAGAAAATGCTCTAATTGGTCTCTCTCTCTTTTCCTCCCTCACAATCTATGTTTAGCTAACGCAGTTTGTACAACTTTTTATCTCTTCATACAGTGATTTATAGTTGTCTGTCATTATCCATCACTATACCAATATCTACATATATAACTATCTCTATCAACACTGATATATGTATATGTATGTATATATATATATATATATGTATATATGTACACCGTCTCCACTCAGTGGAAGCGCTTTAACTCCATTTCACATTTCACATAATGCTGCACTCGGCTAATGGAATTCCCCATTTCCCAGTCATAGATTAGCTAGTTCTATCGATAATTAGAATTCAGTTTATAGTTTCATAGGGGAGCTCATTCGATTAGTTTACCTCAAGCCCGTAAATCACAATTATAAACATATTTGCAGCACTTCGCGCCGGTCGACGGTCCAGCCAGACGCTAATTACTATAATTTTGTCAGCTATTCCCATTTCCCCCTTTCCTCTTTCCCGTTTCCCCTCTCACGTTTCGCATTTTCCGTTTGCCGGCACGCCGCGGACTGTCGGATAACTTGTGCTTGGTGTTAACCACGTGCTTGGCGAAAAACTTTGTCAACAAACGCCAAAAAAAAAAAAAAAAAGAAGAAAAGCAGAGCAAACAAACAAACGAACAATTAAGTGGCCTTAAATGGGGTATGATAGATGGGGAGATACCCTGTATAAAATTGGAATATGGAATATGGAGTATATTATTGCCCGATTAGAATACAGACATGATTTTACACCAACATTATATGTATATATTTACTGTAATGATATCCCGTCCAGTTCAGAATACTGGAAATTAAATAAAAATTCTGGTAAAATCTATGGAAAGGTAGAGCAAAGAGCTGACTTCAATCGGATATCAGGTATGTAATCTCATTTATAGTTTTTCTGATACCTCACAAAGCCCTTTTTATAGCTACAGGGTATCCATATAAAATAGTTGGAGCAGAAGACACTGGGGTAGCTAAAACGTTGTGTAATTAGCCGCTGCAGACTGCAAAGATATACAATATCTTTCTAACTTTTCACACACACACTCTCTCTCTCTCTTTCTCTCTCTGCCTCACCCGGCCCCGTTAGCTTATCCTTAAACGTAGCTCATTCAGTTAGAGATTTGCGTCGTTTTGGCGTAAAGTTTATTTAGAGACCATGTCCACAAGTTGTTTGCGATTAGATTAGGCAACTGCGTGCGATCAATTGGCGTGGAGCTGATCGTAGGCCTTGCTCGAGGCAATCACCCTATCGTTGATCACCTGTTTCACCTGCCTGGCGAATATGAAGTCCAAGTGTCCCCACGTCTCGTCGGGTATCTCGTAGAGCTCCTTCATATTGGGCAGCAGAGCGGGCAGGCGCGCGACATCCTTGACGTTGGCTGACTCGTCGGCCAGGCCCACATAGAGATGGACCTGGGATGTGATCTTGGTTATGTCGTAGGAGGGCGGCACCTGCGTGCCGTAGGTAGCCTTGTTCTTGGTCGGACCCCAGTCGTAGCGACGGAACTCGTTGGACACGTACGACTGTATGAAGTGGATGCCCTGGTTGGTCGAAATGCCGGCCGGATGGGTCTCAGCGACTTGCGGGAGTAGAGTCTAGGAGGAGGGGGATGGGGTCAGTGACCGGTGTTGATCTGCACTTAATGTCAGAATATGAGGAGTACTAACCACGTTCAGGTTGCCCACGCCATCGGCCCACAGCATGGCCAGGGTTTTGCAGTAGCTCAGGAAGTAGGGATCATTGCTGCAGGCTGTGTCCAGAATGCGTTGAATGAGCGGATTCATGGGCAGGAAGACCTGGTTCTGCAGCAGCTCGGCGCCCAGGCCGGGCGAGCCGACATAGTCAGCCAGGGATACAACCATGGGAGTGGTCGTGTTGCCCATGAAGATGGGCGGAGCCAGCATGTGGGCGGTCTTTATCTTGGCATTGTATTCGGGCCGAAAGGCGCCCATCACAAAGAAGGTGGTGCAGCCCTGGGAGTGGCCCACATAGTGCACCGCCCGCTCGCCGGTCGTCGCCAGGATGTGATCTATCATGGCGGGCAGATCGTAGGCTCCGATTTCGTGCCAGCTGAATGCCCAGAAATATGGATGACTCGTGCTTAATCTGGTGTTGTTGCGTGAGTAAATATTGCCCCGGGCGTTGCCCAGCCAGACGTCGTAGCCCGCATCCGCATAGTTGTAGGCCAAAGCATTGTCCGGCCCATTGAGCAGGAAACAATCGGAGCAGCTGAACAAACCGTGCTGTATGAGCACGGCCGGACGCTGTGCGTTCCCATTCGCCAGCTTCGGTGAATACGGTATGCGGAACATGTTCAGCACATAGCCGTCCTCCGTTACCACCTCGTGCGTTTCGGCCGGATAGCCATGCGATTCGATGCGTTCCGCCTGCAAAATGGCCAAATGGCCAAAGCCATTGCTTAACATTCACTAAAGCCCTGACTGAAATCAGCTAGAGATGGAAGCGTGATTCATTTAATGAGATGGAGACAGGGAGAGAGAGAGTGGGTGTGTAGCTCCGGTTCTAGTTCAGTTTGTTTTTAAATGGAATATAAACAGAATAGTTGATTAATGAAGCGAGAAGAATACTTTTTAGTTCATACTAGTTAGTCAAGCTGAATGGCTGAAAAATTTAATAGGTTGTCTATACCATGGACTAAAGTTGAGCACTTCGAATGCATAAAACTGAGAATCGAACTCAATTCACAAAATTTGTTATTATTCATTTAGTTTGACCTCACTCTATAAACTTTATCTCAGGTGAATACGAATTCAACACGATAATTCGCTCAGCTCCCTACTCTAGCAGTCCTTACCCCTACCCTAGCTGCTCCTATTCTAGCTACCCCTATTTTAGCTACCCCCATTTTAGCTACTCCCATTGCAGATTCATTTGTAAGCTTTTTATGCAGCACTCACCGAAGTCTTGATTCTCTTGAATGGTATATCGATGAAAGGATTAAAATCAGCAGCCAGCACAGCTGCGCTGAGAGCGGACAGCGCCAGGACGAGCAGCGTTTGCTTCAGCATTGCGAATATCCTTCAGTTACTCCACGTTCGGGCACCTACACAGTAAGCGCAAAACTGAGCAAAGTAAATTTACCTATAGCGCTATTTGATTACCGAAAATGTTGTCCCAATCTTATCTAACGATTGCTGGCCACTTGACTGGAACCGTCGCGATAGCTGCTCGATTCGCTCTATTCATGATGAGATAATCCACGTGAGATTTATTGTGAGCTGTAATCAGCTAGAACATTTCATTGATAGCGCCACGGGGGGCCAGAGGCCTCGCGAATTCGTGTGACATAAACAAATCATAAATTAATCCAATTATCAATTATCGAGCCAGCGACTCGTGGCACCAGCTCCAGCTTAAATTGTCTCTGTGCAAATAATTTTGGATCAGCTCTTGTGACGCTATCCTATCTTTTAAAATTATGTTTTAATAATGATTTGTGAAATGTATAACCCCAGTATATATAGAAAATAATGTTCGGGTGTAATCGACTAATCAATACACGCTCATATCGAATACTTTGATAAGAGCTAAAGCTCTTTGGCTTTGTTCTGATATGAAATTCAAAGTCAATATACGCCTCTTATAATATATGAAATGATATATTTGAGTTTATATACAGATAACATGTGCTAATGTGCTCTAATAATAGCTTTTAGGGCTAAGAGTACTTGGACAGAGATTTTACCTCTCGTAAATTATAAATATAACATGGCAAATTCATCAATGAATTGTATTCAAAAAATCGTTTTTCTTTCACATTTTGTATGGTATTTTAGTTCTTAATCAGCTAAAAATAAGACTTGAGTATTTTTATAGCTAAAACAAAGAAGTTGACATGTGTTAAGGGCCACCATAGGTTTCTATATATTGTCTATCTCTCTATAGTGTATCTTTGTTCTCTACCAAGAACAATTGCCAAATTTATAGCAGAATAATTTGATTGATTTTCATAATTTTGCCCTTGCAGTCGCAATCGGATAGAGGAAGGCTCCAAAGGGAGAGCGAAGTACCTGGCCGCTGTAGTGACTATTCATGCATATCGCGCGCCTATTTGCAGGTGCCGCCGGCGGCCGATGGATGCACAGAGTGCGCGTATCTACGAAATGCGCCTGAGTTGCTGCGATTTTTGTGCTGTCTGTGGCGCCGCGTGTGGATGTGCATGTGCCACATGGAGATTGGCATTAAGCATGCCGAAAACCGCAAAACTGCGAGCAACAACAATGCGAATTCATTGAGCAGCGAGCGACGAGCGGAGAGCAGGGGGCGCCGAGGACACTGTCAACGCTTGAAAGCCATGGCTATGCGGCAGAACAGATAAACCTATGGAAACCCAAAGGGAAAGAGGGAAAGAGAGCGGGGGAGTGGGCGAGAGACACAGAGAGAGAGAGTAGATAAGACCGAATGTAAATGCGGTTCATTGAAATTATGTGAGGCAACGTAGGAAAAAGTGGAAATACGTCCGATAGCAAATTGCAAAGCATACAGAAAATTGCAATTGTAGAAAAAGCTAAGGTGCGAGAGAGGTAAGCGGAGAGGGAGAAGGGAAGAGGGAAGAGGAAGGCAGACAGCTACGAGTAGTCAGCTTGCATATACCCTGTAAACAGGCTGAATATAGTTGTATGTTGTACTCTAGCGTATGTAAAGCGAGGAGATGAGATTCAGTAGTCGACTGGAAGACACCCTGTTAATGGGTTGAGTATATCTGCTAAGCTTAATTGTACAAGATCGGTAGATAACTATAACAAATTGAAATATTGTTAAGAGTAGATGACAGAATATACCCTGCTTATGTGTAGACTGAAAATATGATTAAAGAGTATGCTACATATACTATATTGATGCGAGAAGTCGACTTCGAGATGCCCTGTAAAATTGGATGTTATACAAGCATATGTTTATTGCAAGTTAAGTGTATGATAAGAAGGATGCTCTCTAGAGAGATATGTGAGGGTCACACGAGTAGACAAGACTACAAGATATCCTAGATGAGCATGTACGACAATAAGCGAAGAACTGGGAGAAATTGGTTTTATGCAGCGAAATGTTTTTCTGAGAGTTTCTATATCAAAGTTAATACCTACAGCTCTCAGAGAGAGCTCTTTAGAGATCAAAGTAAAAATATTTTATTTCGATATTTGGCATAATTCTACCATTTAAGAAATGCTTAACTCTTTTCTGTATACCCCTTGCCACAGCCCATTTTCCCTGGGTATCTATAAATGGTCAGGTAGTGCAACTATTTAGGCTGCTGCAAATGCGAGTTTGATAGAGCTAGAGATAGATATTGAGGCTCGTTCGTAAATTGCTTGCGGTTGCAGCTCCCCCTTGGCTCGCACTCTGGCCAGCTTGGGCTGACACGCCTCGTAATTCCATCAGCTCGTCGCAGTTGGCTTAATTGGCTGCCGACGCTGTTAAGCCAATACCGAATTGTTAAATGAGCATTGCACAAATAGCAAAAAGAAAAACTAAGAAGAAGAAAAGCAAAGAAACACACGAGCCACAATCAGGCGAGGGAAAATAATTGCAAATGTTTAGCAGACGATCCGTTGCCAAAATCGCTTAGCACTCAAACTCGTGACTTATCATAAATCTTGAAGCCAATGTCTGAGGCAAGCGACCCCCCTCCCTCCCCTGCCCTACCAATACCCTACCCGAGTCGAGTGCTAACTCTGCCACTGACAATGCGGCAGCAGGCGGTGCTGGCAACGTGTCAGGTTTATGTTAATGGCCAGAGTCAAAAAGCCACTTGGCTTCGCTGTGTGAGTGAGACAGAGCGAGCGGGAGGGAGGGAGAGGGAGACAGCACAGCTTTAAGCCAGACGACCATTTGCAGGCAATTATAAATTAATATCGTTTATCGATTCCTTATTTATAAACCATTTAGCTCTGCTTGCCTCGAGCACGTGCTGCGCTCTTGAATCGATTGAAAATGCATGCCCATCAGAGGTTTGGTTTGCTAAAAATAAAAGCCGACACAGTGCAAAGGTCAACTACCAACGGCTATGCATTGAGCCATCAGCTGTCGGAATGGACTTTTCGGCTCGGATTTTCTTTTACTAATGGAATGAGGGACATGTGAGCAGAGGCCCTGATACGTGTATATATTTGGATTATAAATAGGTATAGGGTCTATGAATCGGGGTTTTGAATAATATATAGAACTGAACGAAAGAGAAAGGGAAGCAGTTAAAAGGGCTGACACGTAGAAATTGACTGAGATAGAGACGGAGTGAGAGAGTTATATATAGCAGAGCAGACTGAAAGAGAAAGCGATACATATTAATGAGAATGCTACTGCGAAGGAGGGAGCTAATGTGAAGGACATTATTGCGTACTGTACTTGCTGAGATATATGTACATATATAATCATTACCACGTTATGAAAATCTGAATATGTGCTTGCTGACTTGGATTTATGATAATCGCATAGAAAGGTCGTTTCATGAGCAAATGTCTTCGCTTGCAGTTGAAGTGGATTTTGTAGTCTAGATTTCACTACACAACTTAGATATAATGTGTGCAGACATACACACATACCCTTATATATATATATTCATGCCTCAACTCACAGACTCACTTGAGGCTGCAGCAGGAATTTTGACAGAAATCGCATTTCATATGAATTTGATATTAGTTTGCATAAAACTAGCTCTAAGAATTGCCATGCTGATAAAACGTGTTAGGAACTTTGTTAACAGCGACTATTTCACTTGAATTTTCCTTTGGAAATGTCTCGATGCAAAAGCGAATCGTAGATCATATTCAAATCAAAATTTATTTCGAATTTATTTGTCCACTTTGCAGTTGAGCTAAGTGAAAATATTTGTTGCATGCGCAAAAATTGGCCTCAGGCGCTGCCAGAGTTGCCATTTGTCTGCCATGTCGCCTGGAATCGCAGCAGCAGCAGCAGCAGCAGCAACTCTGCCAGCAATTTATTATGAATGCACAGATTTTATTTTGGCCCAAAGTTTTTGCACAACTATTTTGCACACTTCCTTGGCTTTGAGAAAGGGAGCTGAGTGAGGGTATGATGGACGAGCGAGAAGAAGGCGTGGCAGACAGCACTAGGCATATGAATGCCTGAGTAGAAAGACCGCTTGAGTCGATCCAGCTCTAGCCATCCGTCTATCTAGGGCTCTGGGTATTCCCCAGTCGAGCACTCCCGCTCCCGCTGCTCGACGAGCGAAATCAAAGTGCAGCAGAATAAATTTGCTTACGAGTATTTTTTCATATATGCACAATATGTTATATATATAGTATATATCGTGCATATATATATCTATTTATAGCAGTGGATACATTTATAACTTGGCTGCTTGGCTTTTATTTTGCTGCCTGTTCGCAATTGACAGGCGCAATAAATTGTAAAATATGGCCGAAAGTAACTTATGGCCAGCAACTGTAGCATACAAAATGTGTGTGTGTGTATCTGTCAGTTGCATATAAATATGAATAGCTCTAAGTCTCCCACAGCCACCCTCTCCCCCCTCCTCCCCCCTGCTGTTCCGTTGCGTGCCAAAAATTCCTGGGGCAAATCTTTGACATTATTTGGGCGCCATTTGCAGGCTTTTAAGCCAAGTTATTATTTCGCTCTGAACGAAACTTTTACAATTTCACAATTTTACAATTTTACCATTTTATAGCTCGCAATTTGCATGTTGCCACATTTTGGGGCATGTTGCAGGCCGAGCTGTGTGTGTTTTCTCTAAACAAGCGCAAATTGCTGTTGACTTTTTGCATGCAACAAACATCATTTGTGCAACAAATGGGCAACACGATTCTCGCGCCACTTGCCACTTGTGGCACGTTACACACCCACACACATCTGCACACACACACACACCCGCATTTGGCTCGCCATTAAGTCATGCAAAACCAATTAGTTGGTTTCGCCTCTCTTCACATCGCACGGATTTTAATTATTCGTATCGTTTGTGCCACAAAACGTTGCAACTGCGTTCGCATTGTTTTTGTTTCACTGCTATGCCTCGCTCCCTCTCTCCGTCGCTCCTTTTTCCACTGCCACCTGCCGCAATCCTAAGCGGCGCTTCAT